CGCCCGCAAAGGCAAAGACCTCTGCCCCCAACCTCCAGGCCCTGTGGGCCCCCTCTCCAGGCATCCCCCACTCCACTGCTTTTTGCTTCTTATTTCCGCTCAACGCACCCTTTCCCGCATCCACCAACCTGCTTCAGGGCCCTCGGGGTCGCCCTTGTCCTCGGGCTTCTGGGGCTCATCTTCGTCGTTCTTCTCCAGATCAATGTTCTCTTCCTCCTCCTCGTCCTCGCTGCGGTTCCGCGGCGTCCACGTCATCTTGTTCTCCTTCTTGAGGCGCCGGCGCGCGTTAGCAAACCAGGTGGACACCTGGGTGAGGGTCATCTTGGTGATGATGGCCAGCATGATCTTCTCGCCCTTGGTAGGGTAGGGGTTCTTGCGGTGCTCGTTGAGCCAGGCCTTGAGCGTAGCGGTGGCGTCTCGCGTGGCGTTCTTCCGGTACGCAGGGTCCCCGTACGGGTAGGAGCCCAGGGGCGCAGCATAAGGGTGGTACCCCAAGGAGCCTGCCATGCCGGGTGTATGGTCGTAGGGAGAGCTCTGCAGGGGACAGGCAGAGAGAAAGTGAGAGTGGGCCGTAATCCCCAGTGCCACCTGGACGACCGAAGCACACTTTGCGTGCGCCCAGGGGTCTTTGGGCTGCAAGGCCCGCACTGCGGCTTCCACTAGGGTAGGGCTGGAGGACTCAGACCCCAGGGCAACCGCTCCTCCTCGGAGGGCAGCGGGGGCGCCAACTCCTGAGTCCAGTCCTTGGGGTCGCTTGAAACCTTCCTGGACTCGGCGGCACCCAGTAGGCCCCCGTCTGCCCGAGCACGTCCGCCCCCCGTGCGCAGATCCGGCCACCGCGGCCAGGCCCTCTACCCAGAGAGAGGCCTGGGCAGCGGCGGCGACTCTGCGCTCCGCGCCCGAGTGGCTGCACGTTAGGAGCAAGAGGAGGAGAGCAAAGGAAGTCGGGGCATTTTTTTGCTTCTCTACAGAGTAAGACAAACGAAAAGCTAAGCCTTGTCCCGGTGCTCCCACCCTTCCAAAAGTGTTATCCCAAACCGAAGCCACGGCGCTTTTCCAGAAAGTGCACCCGGCCGAAAAATCCCGGATGCACCGCAGCTCGGCCGACTTTTCAGAAATTTAATACCTCCAAATCGGATTGCGAAGATAGGATTACGGATTTGCAACATTTTGGAGGACTAATTAAAGGCGAGGCCAAACACATTTACACAGACTTAGCACGCTTCTGTTCAGATTTCAGGTCTATTTCTTTTGAACTACTTTCCCCAAATGACAAAAAATAAAAATAAATAAAGTAAATGTACACGGCGGCCTGGAGCTCACGTTTGAACCAAATGCTGCTCTTTAATTGCAGCGATCTCTCCCCCAAAAAACCCTTTCC